TCTCCTTCTTGGTCCTGCTGAGGACCTAGTGCACTTCAGCAGCAGGGTAGGTACCTGGTTGTTGCCACGCCAGGCAAAATATTTCCCGTTGCACCTTTTGGGAGAGGCTTTTCTCTCTGCTGAACAGAGAACAAACCAGAGGGATGCTGGGGAGGCTGGCATATCTCCTTTGGATGCGGCCTCAGAGGTGATGTGGCTTCCTGGTCTTAATTCTTCCTTCTTAAATACAGTGGTAGTTATTCATGGCTCTTGCCCAGGGGTGTTGTGAGTTAATATGTGAAGCTCTTTGAAGGCTAGATAAGCTAAGTATTGCTGTCTGCTTAATGAGGGGTGAGTCAGAAATAATAAAAATTAAGCCTGGGCTGTAAGCAATGAATTACTCAGTATTGCTGTAGCTTAGCAGACTCAGAGCAATTATAGGATACAGGTTCATTTCGGAGCACTCTACGTCTGGCCTAAATTCCCAGGTCATACATCTAAGTTGCAGTCATAATTGGAACTGCACTATGGTTTTTTTTATCAGGCCTACAGCAAGTCATGAGTGACAGCATAAATCCTTTGCAGATAAGAAAATGTAACTTCCTAATTCCTCAATTAATCTCCATTTCCCCTCTCAATTATCCACAGAAACTTTGAGCGAGTTCTTGCCCAAAACAGTGATTACTCATGGTCTGAAAGCTCAGCCCGAGATGATCTCGGTGTTGGCTGTAACCAACTAAAAAAGAATTTTATGTAACTATTTAAAAGCTTCCTTCTGCGGAGGAAATATTGCCTTGATAAACTGCTCTGGGAGCTTCTCTGACAGCCGGTGTTTGCTTCCAGCCAGCTGATTACTTGTATTTACTAATCCCAACCTGCCCTGCAACACGTTGGGTTCCGTTCTGCAATTCAAACGGCATGGCAAACTCCGCTTTCTCCACCACAGAGGAGCTTTATCTCATAACCTCGCTCTGTGCTGTGGCTCGTTTTAGCAGAGCCCGCACACAGAGAACCTTTATTTAGCCTACAGGATGATTCTTGTGATTGGTGACTTCTTTAATAGAATTGGGCTGCAGTATAAGTTGTTATCGACTCAGTGGACTTCCCTCTAGAGCTGCAATGAGAAATTCATGCTGTTAGTTTGGTGGCAACTGGCAAAAATAACAGAATATTTGTGCTTGTTTGGCGGTAAAATCCTTTACAGCCTTGCCTCTGTTCTTAATGAGTTACTTTCATTTAAAAAGGCCGTCTTGTAAGAAAAACTCATGATGCTGCTTTCTTTCCTCCTTCTCCCCTTTAACAAGTTATTTGGGCAAAACAAAACCTCACTTCTGCATGAGAATAAAAGATACACTTGGAACAGGAATTAAGGTTTCTGTAGGACAGCGTGGTGCTTTGCAGGCTGGACTCAAGAGTAGCGTTGCTCTCCCGCTGCCTTTCTAGAAACCCCATCCCAAGCCAGCTGAGATCTGCAGAGTCCTGTTGATCTCCGTAGTCTTGGGATCAGACCCCAGAAGGACACCTGGGCTTGGATGAACATGTGTTGAACAGGCTCTTGGAGGGGACAAGGGCAGGGCAGTATCAGCTGGGGGTTTACAGCAGCAGTGCTGCAGAGGAGCAGGTACCTCTGTGTGCCCTCAGGGACCTCGGGGGAAAGCTGTCCTTTAGTTCCTAATAAGAAGTCAAAGCTTGTAATTAGCCTGGCAGTAAGCAGGTAGATTGCAAATATTAGAAGAGCTTTGGTGGAGTGAGGCTGATGGAGCTGGTCAGGTAAACACTAACTCATTAACTACTAGACTAAGCAGGAATATGCTGGGGAGTGTTTCAGGCAGGGCTGTGTTCCTGTGCAAGTCCCCTTAAGGGGCTGATAGCTCTGAGGAAGGTCTTCAGGTGCTGTTTCCCCTGTGATTCCTGGTGAGCCTGTGGGAGAGGGCTGGGGGAGTGGGAGAGTAGCGTTCCTGCCGTGCTCACCCCTCTGTAATCCTGACAAGGGCAGCCTGCCAGGGAGATCTCTGTCAGCAGCTGGCTAATTTGTAGTGACAAAATGCAGAAAGGGCAGTGAGCTAGAAAGAATGGGGTTTGTTAACTTGGTGGCTGGTAATGACAGCCCAGTGCAACTGAGACAGGTGATAACTCAGGTGGGGTGAGAAAGGGGGGGAAAGGATCCAAGTGTTTCTGCTGTAACAAGTTTAGGAAAAGCCTGAAGAATTGCAAAAATGAGGAAATGGTTATGTGCGCTTATTGCAAATAATTCTTTGTCCTCTGGTGCCTAGATCCGATTTCACAGTGGTGAGGGAGTACAGGATGCGAGCAGAGAAGTGCTGTGCAGTACAGGGCTGAGGTGAGCACGGACACTTGCTCTTGTGCCCCCCTTGCTTTGGGTGCCCGGCTGATCTAAAGAACAGAAACCAGGGGCACCACGGCTGTGGGGTCTGCGGTAACGTCCCATGTCAGCCCATAAGCAGTTTGGCAAAGGGGTTAAGAGGCTATCCCTTATTATAAGCTCCATGTCATCAGTAGAATATGGGCTGGTAGGTGCATGGTTGTTGAACCGCAGTTTGGGGGCTGGCTGTTCACTTTCCTTTACCAAGCAATCGCTTCTCCACTGACTTTCCTCTGTTGGGTTGTCTGCCCACCACTTCTCACCCTCTCTTTCCTCCTGTCTTTCACATCATTTCTTAAAGTGCTCTTCCTCCAGCAGTGCTTGCTCTCTCCTGGCCATGGAAACCCTGAGAATGGCTGTTCTGGCCAGCCTTGCTCGGGGTAGTTATAACTACTTAGTAACCATCTACCTCCTAACCACTAGTTATATCTACCCTGAGTTATGTTTTTTTCCAAAAGAAAAATGCTCTTTCCTGCTCTGTGAATCTATTCTCTACTTCTTGGAAGAGCTAAACTGGCCTGATTTCTATACTTCTATCCAGTCACTTTTTTAATCTTGCAGTCTTTTCTTAGTAGGAATAAGAGTGTGAAATATGGCACAGCAGAACTTCATTAGGTGGCCAGATACAAATGGATCAGCATAAGTGTCTAAGAAAGCACTTCCCTTGTTGCTGCAAGGGCCTCCCTAAGTGTGTAGCCTATGCCAGCTTTCCTGTAAGTGCTTTGCCAATGAGCAGGCAAGAGATACAGCAATCTGGATTTGAAGGGTTGCTTCTCGGCACTGGCAGTGAGATGGTGATGTGCCTCCGGGCGGCTTTTGGCAGCATTGCCTTGCTGACTTGCTCTGCTCACGGTCCCAAGCACACTTGCAGCATCTGGGGGAAATGCAGCCTCTCCAAAAGTGCTGTACCACTGCTCTGTGGTGGGGCTCACAGCTGAATTTCCAGATTGCTGTTCCTCCTCCTCTGGTCTATTCCTGTTCCATCTCCCTCTCTTCTCTTTGTCCATCTGGCCATTTGGTTAGGTGAATTGTTGGGAGCTATCTCTGAAGTTTCTAGGCTGTGCTTGAAATAACGGGTTAAGCTTCTCCCTGTCTACTCGAGCGTGAAACGCAGTCCCTCCTGCAACCCTCCAGTCTGAGTTAATTATTAAAATCCTGCTGTTGACATATGAGCATCTGTCTGTCCAGCTGCCATGCTGATTGACTCTTCATCATGTACTTGAGAAACATTCAGAGAGGTTTGAGAAATCGGTGTTGTGTATTTCAATGTATTCCTTTGTCTTTTCCCTCTGGAATTATTCATCTTGGAATGGTGAAATTTTTTTTTACCCTTCCTTTATATTCTCTCTTGTCTACCCAGTGCTTTGATCTGCGTCCAGAGCTGTGGTGGTGGTCTAAATCTCCTCTTGAAATGGAAGCAGCCCTTATTAGTCAAATGGGGGGTTATTTGTATTCCAGAGAATCTGGATGGCATCTTGGGATGACTTTGTACCTGGAGAAAATACTGTGAGGAGGATGGATAAATGCATGCGTAATTACAGCTGTCCCTGAACTCCATCTAAATTTAGAAACTGGAAGCCTGGGATTTGGCCTTTAAATGCTGTGGTATTGTCAACAAGCTTGCTGAGAAACAATGAAAGTGCTTCTCTGTTGTCTCAGGGTGATACAGCTATTCAGCACACATGGCTAAAAGATAAACATTATATTTCCTATTTTGATAAGAAATGTTTCCAACTGAAAAGATTTAAAATGATTCTGCTGTCAAGCTCTGGGGGCTCCCATACAGCGTTTGATTTGTTTCCAGAGCCATTATAGCGCTGGCTTGCCTGATAATTAAGGAAATTTTGGGGGAGGTAGTTCAGAAGGCTGTTAACAAGAAATAAAACCATCTCTGATAGTGTCCCTTGGAAAATCATTTCAGAACAGCTTTCAGAAAACTATTTTAGAAAATGAACACGGCTGGCTCTGTGGGTGTCAGAGGTGGGTGTGAGTTTCCCCGTAGGACACAGTGGGATGAGGCTGGGAGTGGAAAATACTCTGTAAAATGTAGGTACTACAGTTTTAGTGCCGTTGTCTTCCTTATCACGCCGATGGCAAATGGATGGCAACCAGGTGCTACAACAGTTCAGAGCGATACGTGATTTTTTTTGGCTGGCCTTCAACATGCTCTGAGAAGGAGCTCGTATCGCTCTTTGCTCACATTTCTCTTCAGGCTGAAGGTTAAAGAGGAAGCAATAGCCCTTCAAATAGCAGCCTGTCAAGAAACAAGGGGGAGTGCAGTTACACACAGATCACTCTCTCTCCCTGCAGCAGGGCTTGCTCACTTCTGGGACTCGTTAACATCTTCCAACCTGCATACCACTTTTGGGAGTGTTTCAGTGTGTTTAGACTTCAAATGTGTTGCCGAAAGGTTTTGAGAAACAGCTGTTTCCTAAATTTTCTTGCAACTGGTTCTTTTCTCCTGATTTTAGTGTGCTGTTCTGTCGTGGTTTAATTTCAGTCAGCAACTAAGCACCACGCAGCCGCTCGCTCACTCCCCCCCACCCAGTGGGATGGGGGAGAGAATTGGAAGAGCACAAGTTAGAAAAACTCGTGGGTTGAGATAAAAACAGTTTAATAATTGAAATAAAATGATAATAATA